TTGCTAGACCATGACCAACCCACCAACCCAGTCGACAGAATATCTGGGAAATTGCCAAGAACCTCCATGGTCCAGGAGACTTGGGGTGCTAAGGGACGCTCCAAAAAAGATGAACAAGATAAAATTAGAGACTCTGGAACCCTTCCCCATAAAATTTCAAGTCATAGTCTCCAATGAACTTGTCTACTTGGAAACCGGAGGCATGGACAAGAAACCCTTCCTTCATGAAGCCACTAGTTTTAGACTAAATAAATAAATGAAAATCTGTTCCTCAGTAGGCAAGGTGAGCAGTATGCTGTGGAAAGAGCTCTGGGTTGGTATTCAGACCTTCCATATTCTATCTTGGAACCTACAGAAAGTATATGCCTTCCCTGGGCCTCAGTTTCCCCATCTATAAAATTACTTGGTTAGACTTAAAGGATCTATAAGGCTCCTTCCAGTTCTAAATCCTTTGAATACACATGTTATGTACCTTCCAGAATAGGTTTCAGATGAATTCAAGGAGCCACAGACAAAGTGATAACAGAAGAAACACCAAGTAAGGCTACTAGCTCATACTGAGGTAGCAAGGTTTACACAAGCAGGTGTAGAGTAAAATTGGTAGCTAGGTGGTATCATGGAAAGGGCACTGGGCCTGGAATCAGGAAGACAAGAGTTCAAATCCAGCCTCTGACAATTACTAAAGATGTGAGCCTTGGAAAGTCATTTACCCCTATCTTCCTCAGGCTCCTCAACTTTAAGATAGGGGTAACAAAAGCACTTACCTCACAGTGTTGTTGTGAGGAGAAAATAAGTGAATATTTGAAGGACTTCGCAAACCTTAGATCACAATATTAATAAGTGAAGTTGTTTTATTGTGATTGTTGCTGGACAGATGAAGACACTGAGGCTCAGAAAGAACTGGTGTGATCTCAGGCCTAGTGATTGTTAGGGGTGAGGGCCAGTGACGTAGTCACCTCCCTAGCAAACGCTGACAGGTGCTTCCTCCCAGCTCTTTCTAGATCTCACCTTCTCTCACCAAAGGAAGCGTCAGGACTTGGGCAATGAGTTTCTTCGCCAAGCCTGGCTCAGCTCTCTCAGCTTTGTTAGCAGCTGCATAGCCTGGGCTTGTCTGCCTGCAGGAGTCAATGTAGTCTAAAGATCTCACCAAAAAGAGCAGGAGCTATGGTAGTCTCTGAGGACGCTGCCTCTAGGTGCACTCTGGCAGATAGTCTCGCTGGCATGCACTGTCAGAGTTATGGCAGCCTCACCAATTTCAAAGACAGGCATAAGCAAAACAGGCCTAGAAGCAAGGCTGGTCATCGCACTGCTCTGAAAGAGTCTCCTACATGAGGAACCTTGCTATTGAGGGCACTCCTACCAAAGATGCCACTCACTGCTGAGCACCCATCACTTGCCCCGTTCTATGCAAACAACTCATGTCCAGATCTTCCCATATGTTCAACACAGGGAGTCCAGCGAGCCTAGCAAAGGGCTTCTGGGCATTCTAGTAACATCTAGAAAATCCCCCTGGAGCACAGAAGATGCCCAGCGGTTACCCCTCACTCAAAATCTGACCACTGTATCTTTTGTTCTGCTTTTCCATGCTCATATAGACATTCTTCCTACACCATCTTCCTTCACAAGTTCTAGTTTCCAGTGTTTGGAAGGATGTTCATGCCCAACCTGTGTATGCCTTCCCAAGGGCCTCTGGGCAAGTTTTATTTCCAATTCATTGAAGACTACTGTGTTGAATATTTCATAGCCATACAAATATGCTGGAAGAATATTGGTACTAAAAAGATGGGCCTTAATTTCGGAAGGAAACTTGGGTATCATTAACAAATCATCTCCCTAAGGCAATCCAGCTTTCTCTTCCCATACTGTTCACTTCTGGGGCCTGCTCACACACAGACCTTCCAAGATATAGATGCCAATGAATGATCTCTACAGGGAAGCCCCTAAAAAAAAAGATAAAAAAATAATCCTCTGACCAGGGCAAGATGTTTCACAATCCCTACCCATTTTTGTGGCTTAAGTTCTTTCTAGGGCTGAGTTTAGTGGGTATAGGAGACACTATTTTACCTCAGATGCAATGTGTAGATTTGGATCATGTCTACTGACCCTTTAATATGTTTCCTCACTGGAAAATGGGTAAGTCATAGAAAATCAATTTAATAAAAAGAGGACATTATTACTACAGGGGCCACTGCAAATTATAAGGGGTCTGCACCTATCAATGTTCTTCCACACAGGTTGGGAGTTTCCGTGGGGCCTAAGGAGAACAGAGGGCCCTTCCGATACATGATAATTAAGACTGGATTAGCAAGGGGATTTCAATAGATGGCCATGAACATCAACAAAAGATTAGTATCAAACAATGACCCCATGGCTCTACTCGCCATCTTGGTGACTTGCAAAGTCACGTCAAACCAAGTCAATAGGCTTTGTGCCAGGCATTGTGCTAGATTGTAACTCCCTTCCTTGAACATCCCTGAAGAAAGTACTTAAATTACATTAGAGATATCAGAATGCAAGCTCCACAGCGGGTAGCATGGGACTTGGCATGTAAAAGACACTCTTTTTTTCATGTAATAAACAATAAAAGCTTTCATTCCTTCATGCTTTGCCCCCAAGGTAAAATCTGATAAAGACTGCCCCTTCTCTAGTATATCGCTACCAGAAACATCCTAGCCAAACACCTTCTCTTTACATGATATCGAGCCCTCCTTGGTCACTAATATGCCCCCCCCCCCCCCCAGCATTGGTCATAGTACCTGGGACACAAGAGTAAGAATTTCAGAAATGCTTGTTGACTTGACTTGATGTCAAACATAAGTGAATCGTGCCCCTAACCCAATGGGGGGGAGCAGACCCCCCTCGGCCTTTCCACCAACCACAAAACTAGGGAAGTACATGGACAAGAGTTGTATGGGATGATGGCACAATGGTCAGATGTTGGCACTGGAGAGAGAACCCAGAGCAACAATATCTGTTAGAGTACTTGGGCATGATGGATGGTCATGTGGATGGTCTGGCCCTTGGTCCACTCCTACAAATGCCCACTTTTCACTGAACCGATAATATCAAAGCACACCAGTAGTACAGGATGCTTTATAGCACAAACACTTTTCTAATGAGAAATTTTAGCCCCACTCTCTTGTCTTTAAGTAGTCAGGTGACTCACCCTTTTTTGAGATGTTCTGTGGATCAAAAAAGGAAACATCAAAGATACGCATTAACAGGAAACCTTTCTAGGACTTTTCAAGTCCCTTTTAATTACAACGCGACACATTTACCCAGACGTCATCATCTCATGGCACAAATTTTTAATATTCTGTGTGGGCAATTATTGCCCTTACAGCATATAATTATGTGAGCCAATAAATATTAACACATCTAATTCAAATCCACCAGAGCAGAGATAATTCAGGAAAAAAAAAAGACACTCCACCATTAACTCCCTCACTCCTCCGTGCCCAACTATGGCAAAAGGAAAGTGAGGAAGCATCTTCCTTTCATTCCTAAATAGAGAACAGCCATGGAGAAAGAACACCCCCCCCCCTTTGCCATTTCCTGCATGTTCTAATTTAAGTGAGTTTTACTAGCAGTCTGGTGATCTCACTGCACTTCCTTTGTGGGAGAGAGCATCTTCTAGAGAGTGGCAGGAAACTATTATCCCAAAGGAGGGGGATCATGCCAGAGCTGATATCCTTTGCTGATATCCACTTATGAAAAACTGTAAATCTGGACTCTGTGTTTACAGTGTTAATGGCAAACCTTCCAGGGTTTAAGTATGAGATGAGTTTATTTGTTCCAAAAGGGAATGAATTTATGTTCTCAATACAACCTGATAGTTTCTGAGGGGCATGTGTAGGCAGAGACTCTGAATTAAAGCTCTGTTAAGGGGTATAGTGAATGATGACAGAAGAGTAGAATATCCTTAGAGTTCATGGGAATCTAAAACTTGAAAGGAAATTGCTCAAGAAAAAGTATCTAGGGTTTATTGAGCTAACAAATACTGGCTTTTAGAAGATAAGCATTTGGGGACAGAACTGCTGAGTTTCACTCAAATTCCATCCAGTAAAATGGTACAAAGAGCAAAGGATCATAGGTTTGTAGCAGCAAGAAAAGAGTTGAGAATCAAGTTCAATCCCTTCATTGGACAGGTGAGGAAATGGAAGTAAGGCAGATGAAGTGACTTACTCAGTCGTACAGGCAGAGATGGGGTCAGGATTTCAACTCTTTCTGACTCCCATTCCAACACTCTATCCAGTTGGCACACTCGATGACCATAGATGGAGTAAAAAGTCAAAAAACTGAATAGAGGATAGAAATAAACCTATAGAACAGTGATATTGAACTCAAGTACTCTAGGTGCTGTTGGCATGTTTTCAGAGGTGGTTGAGTTCCCTGGCTTTCACTGGCCCTACTGAAAAGGTGAGGTGGACTCAGTTACTTGGTTCCATAAGGTATTTCTCCAGTGGCCCAGTGATAAGTCTAGAATGGATACCGAAAGTCTTTGTGAGTGGAGAAAAAGACAAGGTGGCTGGGTATGCAGGAGATAGTATAAAAATGCCTTCATTGAAAGGTTGACATAGAAGGTATGACCAGAGAAAAGATGGGAAGTCCAGGGCCCCATTTGCATCATCACTTGCGAATATGGGATAACGTGTGAAATAGTCAACAAAACAGCAACATCATTGATGTCGAATATATGTATTTTTTTTCATCAGGTGGATAACTGCATACTGAAGGCCACCCAGACTGGAGTGAGGTCATGCTGTTTATCTTCCCATCATCCCCAAGGCAATTACTCATGTTATAAGAGCATCCCTTGTGCATGTGGATGATACATAAAATGTTAACTTAGCTCCTTTGCCCTTAGAGGAAAATCAATCAATAAAATTAAAAGGCTGGAAAATTGATGTTTTTCCCCCCTTTCTCTCCAATCAGCAAACTCATGGTTGACTGATTTTTGGTAACTGAGAACAGCCCAAAGAGGATAGTTGAATGCCTACCTGCTGAGGCCTCGGCTTGTAAGGGGAACTGCACTCTAGGTCTGCCAGGATGCTGGTCAAAGAGTCGATTTCTGCATCCAAACTGGAGCGACGCTCTTCGAGGGTCTTGCTCCCAGGATTCACCTGTAAAAGGAGGAACCCAAGGGTCAAGAAAAGCATTGTAGTTGCTGGCTTGTTTGAATGAAATCAGGAATGTCGTTTTGATGTCCCAATTTACCCTCCCCCCCCAACACACACATCTACTAAATCCCTTTTTGTTGATTTTGTTCTTACAGATGTTAATGTTGTTTCCCTTTATAGAATGCAAATTCCTTGAGGGCAGGTACTATCACTGCATGTCTGTGTTTGTCTCCGCAGGAACTAGCAGAGTGTGGCATACAGGCTGGCATTTATTACACGCTTGCTGATTTATCGATTGATGCAAGGTTCTTGACGTATTTTCAATTAAAAAAAAGCACATTTTCCCATTTATGATCTCACTCCAAATGCCCAGTTTTCCTCTGCTATGGGAGGAACGGGTGCCAATGAGCACATTCAATAGTAGAAGATAGTCTGCTCACTCAGTTAGTTGGTGGCAGAACTAGGGTGGGGTGACAAAGCCATTGTTCCAGGATCCTGAATCAGATCACAACACTTGCCGCGCTTTGTCAATGAAAGATGAGGCTAGGACCTACTAAGCAAAAGGAGCAAATTTCAGCATTTCTTGGTTCTAAGAGAGGGTTCATTTTGACTTGAGATACCACCAATGATATAGAAACCAAAAACACCAATAAAGCTTATTTTAAGGGAAAAAAATATGTACATACATACATAACATGAACACAAACATATTACCATTATTATTATGGATATGGATGCTGAACTGAATTGGTAGAGGATATTTACTCAGCTGGGCTCGCCCATATCAATGAAATCATAGGTATAAGTCCTCTATCTGCTCATCTGTTTATCTGTGCACGCGCACATACACACACACACACACACACACACACACACCCCAATCCCAAATTTGTATGTCTGAAACTTGCACCCATGGCTCCTCTTTCTGTCCCTGGGGGCCAAAGATCTTCAAGTACTTTAAAACATTCTCATGCCCACCCCTCTCTGAGGCTTTTCTTCCCCAGACTGAATATCTTCATTTCCTTTAACATGCAATCATCAGGACACGGACTGATTATTCAGGCTACCACTGTCTAAAGGCTCTGAGCTCTGAATCTATGTCTTCTTAGGCTGGGGAGCCTAAAACTGCCCCTGAAGGATTTTTTGGTAAGGGCATTATTCACGAATTGCTGAATAGACTCAGAATACACTTGACGTTCAAATTAAAAGAAAACTATCCCCAAGTATTCCAAAACTCCTAGGCATGGATGACAAGTCCTCATGAAGATGCACACTTACGTGAAAGCAAAGAGGGAGAACATTGAGAGATGAAAGACATAGGGAAAAATATTTCAAATATAATACATGGTCAGTCAGTCAGTCAGTCAATAAACATTTAAGTACCTGTTACATGCCAAGCACCTGAGGAAATAAATACAAAAAGAAAGATAATCCCTGCCCTCAAGGTGCTTACAATCTAATGTCTAATGGTGGAACAGAACATACAAAAACAAGAGGGAGGCACCCAATGGCAGGGCATGGTGGAAATCAGAGAAATCCCAAGCAGGGCAGCCAGTGGGGCATGAGGAGCTGTCTTGGACCAAGGACCCCTCCTTCAATGATGATTCTGGAATTCATGGTCTGCCCTACAATCTGAGGGACAGAGGGTAGTGATGATGCATGAGCACCAAAGCTGACTGGATCTTACAAAATGATGAGACTTCTCTATGAGGAATTCCTCAGACATGGAAGAGAAGCGAGAGAAGTCCCAACAGACCACAGCCATGTGAGAATGAGGAGGATATATGGGAGAACTTCCAAATTATATCTGCTGCAAAATGTAACACTAAACCACGCCAGTATCTCTACTATGAAAACCCAAATGAGCTCACAAAGAGTCGCAACAAAACACGACAGACAGCCTTGCCATGTAGGAAGGGGAGATCAGTGGAGATGGAGAGGCTGTATGACTACCTGTCAAGGATTGGGTGGATCACTGAGTAGCCAAATAGGCAGAATAAGCTCCAAGCCCCCTCCAGCTCTAGGATTCCAAAATATCATCTGGTATATGGGAGACAATATAGGAGAATTGGGGGAAAAAAAACAGATTTGGAGTTAGACAACCTGAGTTAAAATCCAAGGCATCTCAGTGCTACTTCTTACTAATTGTGTCAAACTGAGCAAGTCACTTAACCTCTCTTGGCCTCAGTTTCCCCATTTATAAAATAAGAGGATTGGAAAAAATGTCCTTCCATCTTTAGTGCACAGCCCTATAAACCTGGCATTTAATGAAGCCTGCCCATCCCAATGGCCAAGAAATGGCGAGGTCGAGAGCTTACTCCCAGCTAAGAATCATACTCAGGGAGGAGAGCTATAGATTCAAAGATGTGAACAAGGTTGCCATTGAGAGAGACTGGAATTGCCTGTTGAATTTCACATTCTTTTGATGATTTACACAGATGCCCATTTCCAATATTGCTCAATATGAGAGGAAGTGATGGTGAGAAGGAGGAGGTGGGACATGAACTCACACAGTCACAAAGGATGACTTAATCCAACCACCCAATGGGACAAGTAGGAAACTGAGCCAGAGAAGGCCAGCGGCCTGCCTGGGGTCCCTCAGCTAACAACCAAAAGGGAGGGAGGGCTGGCAATTTTCTTCTTACTCCTGGTCCACAGCCCTTTCTCTACTACCTTTCAGCCTGACAAATGGGGAAGAAAACCATTCCAGCTTGGATCCTGAGGAATCAATGGGAAGGGTGAAACCTGCTCTCTCTCAGTTGGGAGCTCCTGGCCAAGATTCTGCCTCTTTTCCCCCAATCTCAGCTGGGAAACGGGCAATGGAAAACAGGGGGTCCTAGGAGCCTCCGGAGAGGCTGCCATGCTGCGGCAGGGAGGGGATTCGGGGGGACTTTCCTCAGCTTGCCTTCCACTGGCAGCCCAAAGAGGGAAGGACAGCAAGTCTCCAGGCTTGCGGTGCTTTGTCAGAGTCAGAATCTCTAGTGAATTGTGAGGAGCAGCTGCAAGGGGAACATTTCACCCAAACCAACGTTCCCCTCCCTGGAAACGGTGCTGAGGAAAAATCCATGAGCCCCGGCCCAGAGCCGGACCAGGCAGAGGATGAGCCCCTGCAGATTAGGGTTTTGCAGACACAACTGGCACCTGAGTCCATACCTGGAGTCTGTCTAGCATGGCGGCAGCAGCCAGAAGTTGGGCTCTGGGGGCCGCTAGGTAGCACAGTGGATAGAGCGCCGGCCCTGGAGTCAGGAGGACCTGAGTTCATATTCAACCTCAGACACATAACACTCACTAGCTGTGTGACAAGTCACTTAACCCCAATTGCCTCATGAAAGAAAGAAAGAGAGAGAGAAAGAGAAAGAGAAAGAAAGAGAGAGAGAGAGAAAAAGAAAGAAAGAAAGAAAGAAAGAAAGAAAGAAAGAAAGAAAGAAA